CCCCAAAACCCCAAAACCCCAAAACCCCAAAACCCCATCATTCAAAATATATCATAATTTTTTAACTTATTTATGTAGTTAAGTTGTGATTAATTGATTTCATTTATTAACATTATAAAGTCGAAATAGCGAACATTAATATATACATCTTTCAAACTCTACTTGTAGCCCTCTCAGTCAATTCTAACTCCCATTCTTATTTTCTCTATTCTTCTTTTATTTCCTCTATCATCTTATTCAGCCTTCTATCACCATATTCTACCAGAAGTTATTCTCCTCTGTCTACTCTTTTATAATAGCTATATATCAGATACGAAAAATATGCTCTGAGAAAAGCTTTTGTCAGAACAATAATGTAGTAATTTATTGTAGGTGTCTGTGATAAAGCCCCTGATTCATCTGAAACTTCTACGAATACAATGATTAGTTCGAAGAATGGAATAATACAGACCTCAATACACTTCCAGGCAAAGTAAAATTTAATGATCTTCATCTTTTTATAAGCCACAGCATAAAGCCCAGCAAAGGCTAAAATCAAGCTAACTCCGCAAATGAAAACATAAGCTGCCAACTGCAACTTTAATTTGTATTTCATAAATGCAATTACTCCGATACCAATAGCTGCACCACCAATTGTAATATCTATTAAAGCTATGATGATTAGGATTGTCTTAAGCGACATTAGTCCACAACAAACACCCTTAGCTAGAGGTATACAGAGACAAAACTTCGGCTCCCTTGATGGTTATAAGCTTTGACTCATTTCAAGAGGGTTGAATCTATGATCATTAATCTCTGGATTGAACATAATATCATTATTATCATCAAGTTGAGTAATTCCATTCATTCCCTAAAGATTTAGCTATGCGGCTACACCTATTCTATTGTTTTAATTATGATCGATGACTGACATATCATCAGTATGGATGTAACTTGTCCCCCCAATCCTACTCAAGTCATCCTAGTTTTAATTCCTTTTTTTCATTTAAATTTGTATTATTATTATAATTAAGCTATAATAAATTGATAAAATGTTCTTTATTGTACCAATTGAGAAAGTCATCAGAATAGAGCCTTATGAGCTTGGCAAGAATATCATTTACAAGATTAGAAAGAAGTTCGTTTCTATTTCTTTTACTAAATCACAATTAGGGTAGAAGATATCACTGTCGGTACATGCTAGGGAACTTATGGATATATCATCCAGATCGCAATGTAAATATTGGCCAAGATATATTCATATTTTTATATACTTTAACATTAACTAAAAATTGCGCTATAGTATGAAGGATAGAGACATCTCTGACGGAAGGATCTAGGATACAACAGGCGATGTGATATATAAAGTGAAGTTTAAGGCCTTAGTATTCCGTCCAATTAAAGGAGAGGTACTTGATGGTGAAGTAATTCACATTGATGACAATGGATTCATGATTGAGTCTGGTCCATTCAAGTCATTTATTTCAACTATGGTAATTAAATTTATATTGTCAAAAGTTATTAATAGAGAATCTAAGACTAATTTGAGTATGATAAGGTGCACAATCTATTCATAAAAAGAGATGACCCAAATCAAAAGATTAGAGTTGGAAGTGATATTAGGCATAGGATTGAACAGATAAAGTATGACAAAGGAGAATATGTAAGAAATATAGTTTTATTAATAAATTCAGACTGCAATAAGCACATTAGATGATGGATATTTGGGACCCTTCTCAATATCACTGTGAAATTAAGTCATATAAGCATTATAATTAAGAACTCAATAATTTAACTTGCTATTTTCCTCAAGATTTTACTTTTTCAATTAGTTCAAACTTCTTTTATTTAATTAACTACAAATTTTATACTACGGGGTTTTGGGGTTTTGGGGGCACTCCCCAG